CTGTGTGGGCGTGTCCTTCCACTCACTCTGTGTGGGCGTGTCCTTCCACTCACTCTGTGTGGGCGTGTCCTTCCACTCACTCTGTATGGGCGTGTCCTTCCACTAACTCTGTGTGGGCGTGTCCTTCCACTCACTCTGTATGGGCGTGTCCTTCCACTAACTATGTGTGGGCGTGTCCTTCCACTCACTCTGTATGGGCGTGTCCTTCCCCTCACTACTCTGTGGGGACATGTCCTTCCTCTAACTACTCTGTGGGCGTGTCCTTCCTCTAACTACTCTGTGGGCGTGTCCTTCCTCTCATTACTCTCTGTGGGCATGTCCCTCCTCTCACTACTCTCTGTGGGTGTGTCCATCCTCTCACTACTCTCTGAGGGTGTGTCCTTCCTCTTACTACTCTCTGAGGGCGTGTCATTCCTCTAACTACTCTGAGGGCGTGTCTTTCCTCTTACTACACTGTGTGGACGTGTCCTTCCTCTTACTACTCTGTGTGGGCGTGTCCTTCCTCTAACTACTCTGTGGGCGTGTCCTTCCTCTGACTACTCTGTGGGTGTGTCCTTCCACTCACTACTCTGTGGGGACATGTCCTTCCACTCACTACTCTGTGTGGGTGTGTCCTTCCACCCACTACTCTGTGGGCGTGTCCTTCCTCTCACTACTCTGTGGGCGTGTCCTTCCTCTCACTACACTCTGTGGGCGTGTCCCTCCTCTCACTAATCTCTGTGGGCGTGTCCTTCCACTCACTACTCTGTGGGGACATGTCCTTCCACTCACTACTCTGTGTGGGCGTGTCCTACCTCTAACTACTCTGTGGGCGTGTCCTTCCTCTCACTACACTGTGTGGGCGTGTCCTTCCTCTCACTACTCTGTGTGGACATGTCCTTCCACTCACTACTCTCTGTGGGCGTGTCCTTCCTCTCACTGCTCTCTGTGGGTGTGTCCTTCCACTCACTACTCTCTGTGGGCGTGTCCCTCCTCTCACTACTCTGTGGGGACATGTCCTTCCACTCACTACTCTTGTGTGGGCTTGTCCTTCCACTCACGACTCTGTGGGTGTGTCCTTCCTCTCACTACTCTCTGTGGGCTTGTCCCTCCTCTCACTACTCTCTGTGGGCGTGTCCTTCCTCTCACTACTCTGTGGGGACATGTCCTTCCACTCACTATTCTGTGTGGGCGTGTCCTTCCACTCACTACTCTGTGGGCGTGTCCTTCCTCTCACTACTCTGTGGGGACATGTCCTTCCACTCACTACTCTGTGTGGGCGTGTCCTTCCACTCACTACTCTCTGTGGGCGTGTCCTTCCACTCACTACTCTGTGGGGACATGTCCTTCCACTCACTATTCTGTGGGGGCGTGTCCCTCCTCTCACTACTCTCTGTGGGCGTGTCCTTCCACTCACTACTCTGTGGGGACATGTCCTTCCACTCACTATTCTGTGTGGGTGTGTCCCTCCTCTCACTACTCTCTGTGGGCTTGTCCCTCCTCTCACTACTCTCTGTGGACATGTCCTTCCACTCACTGCTCTGTGTGGGTGTGTCCCTCCTCTCACTACTCTCTGTGGACATGTCCTTCCACTCACTGCTCTGTGTGGG